CCAGAAATTTTTTTCTGCAGGTGCTATGAAGGAGTTAGTCTTTTTATTGAGGGTGCTATGAAGGAAGTGGTCATGCATACCTATTGTTCTCTAAAACACCTTCAACACTAGCAGATACACGTGCGTGCACAAATCCTCAACTACACCTGAAACAATCATTAATATACATCATAAACATATGAACAATCGCTGACTTTTCCATGAAATCGTAAACACATACAGCTACACAGAAAACCATCTATAGTGTTGCAAGGTTAGCTAACGTTAGTGTTAGCATTTCCAGTGGCAAAACCCTCGACTGCTGCGGCGGTTGAGGGTTGACTCTCTTCATCCAGATCCATAGGATTTGTGGGTCTGAGATCATTTCCAAAGAGTCATTAGTTTCTGACTGAACCTGTGGAAATTTGGGCAACAAAAGCCGATCCATTTTACCACTAGCTCTACCTTTCACTCAGTCGCAGGTGGAAAATGAGGTCAAAGGTTAACATCAATTTTCTAACCCTAACCTTACCAGGGAGATGTCCAGGTGGCATCCTAACCAGAAGCTTGAGGCACCTCAAATGGCTCCTCTCGATGTGGAGGAGCAATGGGTCTACTTCTGGCTCAGCTCTCTCTTCACCACGACAGACCGGTACAACACCTGCATCACTGCAGACGCAGCACCAATCCACCTGTCTGTCTCATGCTCCATCTTTCCCTCACTCATGAACAAGACCCTGAGATACTTAAACTCCTCCACTTGAGGCAGGACCTCATCCCTGACCTGGAGAAGGCATTCTACCCTTTTCTGACTCAAGACCATGGTCTCAGATTTAGAGGAGCTGATTCTCATCCCTGCTGCTTCACACTCGGCTGTGAACCACTCCAGCTCAATTCTAAAAGCTCCACTGCAAATATATTAACCTAATTTATGTGAAACCAGCAGCTGAGCCCGAGAACTCTTTAGCCCAAATTCACCGTCAGAGCTCAGGTGAATGAGAAAATGCTGTTAGTGAGGTGAAATCACCTGTTTTACTGTGATTTATCATCATTACCCACAACTAATGCCTCTCTGCACTGAGTTCTACCTTCACGTCAGGGTCAACTATTAAACTCGATGATTTCATTTGTTTTCCAGTCAATAAAGTTAAATTTAAGTCTGAGTTATGAGTAAACAAATTCCTGACAAACATACTGTAGACTCCAAGATAAAATAACCTATAATGAATCAAAACCTGTGGATTCCTATTGAATCTTAAAGCAACAGACTCAAAATTAAAACTGATCGACGTGGATCGAATTTTCCAGAAATCTTCCCAATAAACATTTTGGATCTTGCAGGCCTAATTATTGTTTCATCACACAGTAAAAAACGTAACTTCTAGATATTCTGGGAAAATAGTCTAAATTAGATTCTTTCCTTTGATAATTTTAACAAAGTTAATAAAGCAGGAATATGTCCTAACTGCTGAACGTCTGTGTTATGGAAATTTTATATTTCATTGCTTTAATCCTGTTAACAAGTGTCCTGAAGCATTCTCACACTCACACCCACCCACACACTGTTCTTTCCCTACACTCATACACACACTGACTCTCTCTTTCCTCTCCCAATGACCTCACTCCCATCTTTATCTCTTTGTTTAAATAAACTCTGCGATCAGATGTTCGAGGCATTTTGCCTCGTGCATGTGCCACAGTTACAACTGGTTGACCTGTCTGCTCATTGTCTCCTCTCTTCACTACAGGACATGGGTTTATTGATCAACATATGTATTGATAAAGTCCATGGCAGTCTGTGTTTCTGTTTTAAACACTGTGACTGTGCACAAGGGGTCTTGGGCTGATATTTGAGGTGTCCTCATTGCTGCATGGTCATAAAAACATCTGATTAGTCCATCCAGATCGTTCCTCTAACTCTCAATCATTGTTTCAGTTCATAAATATGCCTTCAGGCTCCTACTAATAATAATCTGCTGTTGTTTGGGTGTGAGCAGTTTAAAACTGGGATATATCACTTTGGGTTCATGATTTTTGGATCTGGGTGGAAGTGAAGCAGGTATAAATCTAGTATCTGTCTGTGAAGGGTGAGAGCTCCTTAGGGAAGTTTATCCATCAAACCTGTCACTCAGGAATGGAGCAGCGTCCTCCGGGATGGGAATCCATTTCACAACCCGACCATGATGCTACTCTTCCTATCACACCTACAGTCAGAAACCAGTCTCGACTCACGCCGTCAGCAAATTCATCCTCTGCTCCATCAGCCGAGGGTTTCATTTCTGTAAAATGGCTCAATTTAAACAATCTTCTTGTTTATTTCCTTTGAAGAAGAAAATCTAAAGCCAGATTCTCTTTGGGGTGCAACCGCTTGTCGTAAATGACAAATTATATTCTCACACGAGTCTCTAAAATGTCTCCAAACTGTAAAACAGGATTCTTGTGTTTACTTTGCAGGGCCTCATGTGCATGTTACAGAACCTTTCCCAAACTCTTCCTAAGTGTTTCTCGGTTTAGTTTCTGGGAGTGCAAGAAACGTGAGACACCTGCAAATAAACCGAGCCATAATTTAGACACTTGTGAGTAAATAGCAATGCTCTACAGCTGTATGACTGTTAGAAACTCTTATTTGTCCCACATGATGCAGCTTTTTAAAAAATGTGTGCAAAGTGCACCAATTTAGTGTGATTCACACTAAAAAGGTGCCTTTAGTTGCACCTTGGTGAGATTTGGCCACAACAAGATTCTTTAACTTCAATACCTTGTTTTAAATGCGCCCTGTCTGCTTAATGCAATTCAATTAAACAGTAATAGTTGTTAGTTTTAGCGTTTAAAAGTCAGTTTTACGACACATTTTAAAAGAAAATAAAAAGACAAAAAGCAGGTTTCTGTTCACTGGTTTGGGTTTTTAACTGGGAAGAAAAACGTAACTAAATCCTGATGTAAAATGAGAAAGTTGTTACCTAGAAATGTAATTTCTAAGAAGAAACTATGATACAATTCTTTCTTTGGGTCCCTTTTGTGCAACATCTTAAGCTCAGTGAAAAAAATCAGTTCATAAATTTTAGTGAATTTTATCTCAGCACAGTTAAAAAATCAGCAGCAAAACCCCGACAGTTACAGTAAATGTGCATGAGTCTGAACCTGCATCAGAGCAGGTGACGCTGCGGTTTAGCTAATGATCAAACCTCCTCGTGCTTGTTTCTGCGGTGCAGCGTCTCGTTACGTAAAGGGCAGGAACACGCATGTTAGGTGTTCACAGTCAGTTAATCTCCTAAAGGCTTTAGTGTACACTTTTATTAGTGCTTTCAAGTGGGGAACGTCTCCACTTCATCATCCCGAGTCATTGCACAATGTAGAGTACAGCAGCACGGAGAAGCTGTAACTGAGCTGGCTTCAAAAGGCTGCACACACATGCACGCACACACACACACACACACACACACACACACGCGTGCACGCATGCACGAGATGCCAATCACCTAGGACTTTTATGCTGAAAGGTATTTGAACAGGGAGGTGAAAGGTTTAGTAAATTTGAACACAAATGAGGTTAAAGTTTGTTTTTGTGTTTTCAGGATTTCTCACATTCAGCTGTTTGCTGAAAGATCTGGGACTAAATCTATGAATGAAAAAAATCCTTTTCATGCTTTTAAAAACAGAACAATCAGTAGTAAAAATATGAGACGTTAAAAAAGATAAATGTTTTATCACCCTGTGAAGTGAACCGATTCAAGATGGCCGCCACCTCTTAACACTGAACACAGATTGCACCAGATCCAACAACACCAAGATTCAATGCAATTTTGATGAACTTAAAGGTGTTGATCACTTGTTTAATCACATCTGCAGTGGTCACTAGAAGGAATGAATGCCTTGTAAATCCTACTCTGGGGAAAATAATCCCTGGTGCTCTATTTTCAGGAACTAGAAGTGAGCTACATCAGAGGTGAGCTTCAAACAACAGAATGTGGATTCGTATTTCCTGATATTTGGGCACCTCTCCTCTGATTGGATAACAGCAACACGACTCTACCACTGACTCTGTTTGCTCTGCAACTTTGATGTTCTACCTCCACAAATAACAGAAGTCGCTAACGGTTAGCTTCTACTAGTTCAGATGTTGTTTCCTGGACGCTAAACTAACAACAGCCTTCCCCTTCGTGAGTCAAGAAGAATGAGTCCATGAAGGTTTTTATGTTCAGCCTGCATGAAATACGTAGAGACTGAAATAATCATTAAATAAGTATTTCTTTCAGTGTTCCACACCTTTAAAACGTTTATGGAAGGCAGTGAGTGATTTGCTTTCATTAGACTCACTGTAGGCCATTAATGGTTCATCACGAAAGCTGTCCTTTCTGCAGATTAAAGCTTTCATTTTCTGGATTCCATTTTTGACTTAAACAAGTAAAGGCACAAATGTATCAGTGAGGGCTGCATTCCACTTCTACAGCTGTGCATGCTGATGGCGCCATCAGGAATAACTAATTTGATCTAAAAAATAAAACCTGTCTAGAAAATATTTTATGTTTTGGTTGGTAACATGACATTCTGTGTTATCTACAGTATTCATAATGATGTCTTTCTCTGCCTTGAGCAGCCCGTTCTGAGCTCTTTAGAATAAAAAATACATATCTGGTGGTTTCACACACTTGGCAGCTTCACCATCCAACATGTTTAACGCCTGCAGGTTTTAGCCTCTCTCTATGATTTTATCTAAACAAGTTGTCATAAAGTTCAGTGAGTTTGGAGCCAGTGAGAAATCTCTGATTTACCTTAAAGAACCACCTCCACCTCCTCTAGTCTGTTGCACTTAAGAATAGAATAGATTAGACTTTATTGATTCCACAGTGGGGAAATTCAATTGTTGTAGCAACACTTAAGAGAATAATTTGAAGAAAAATAATAAAATTGGACCAGACAGGAAGTCAAACACAAGAGCAGTGTAAAACATCTGGGAGCTTTCAAAAATAAAAGACACGTACAAATTTCCTGTTGCTTATTTAGAAAAAATATGTCATTACCTGTGAAGCCTCCACTGCCGAGGTATACAGAACAGAAAATAAACTCCAGACATTTTGGATACATGCTGCCGTCTTTCTACTTGCTAGTCGCACGAACGGCTGAAACCACGCGTGATCTTCATATTCTCTTTTGATTTTGTGACCACATGGGACCAGCTGTGTGGATCGCTTTTGCTGCTGATGTGCATCTGAAACGTTCCCGGTGGGAAGGGACATGCTGTGATGCTTACGTGTGCCGTGGAAATGCCGGGTTACGTGTATAAGTTAAAAACCCTTTCAGCGAGAAATATTACATTTGGACTTCCTGGAATATCTCATTTTTTAATATTCACTCTTTACTGATCATTAGTATGAATGAAAGTCATGGAAACCAGTCTTTTAGGTTGTGTTAGATCTTTTAGGAGTTTAGGCAGGGCATGTCAGAAACGCTACCACAGGAGTAAAGTGTGACCTTCGAAGGACCCATCAGTGTCTCATTGTGACAAACCCTCCAGCCTAATAGGGAAGGTAGCAGCAGTGCAGCAGGAGCTCAGGAGGTAGAGCGTGTTGCCCAGTAACCAGAGGGTTGTGGGATCCATCCCAGCTCCGACCAGAGAATGCTGCTGTCGTGTCCTTGGGCAAGACACTCAACCTGCCTTGCCTACTGGTGGTGGTCGGAGGGACCGTGGTGCCAGTGTTCAGTGTGCTCCCGGGCAGCTGTGGCTACATCATAACTCATCCCCACCATCGTGTGAATGGGTGGATGACTGATTGTGTTGTGAAGCACCTTGGGGGGTTGCAGAACCCTATAAGGCACTATATCAGTACAGGCCCAAGGTGAAATGGTTCAGACCAGTGGACTGACTGGACTCTGACTTTGAGACTAGCCGGAGAAACTCTAAATTACTTTTTCTTCCATATTGTGACGAGTTTTATACACAACTGGTTCACCTGAACAACAAGTGTTCCTGTTCCAGTTTAATCACAGATTGTCTGAACTGTGTCTCAGATTGATCTTATTTTGTTTGCAAACCAGTTGCCGACTCCTCCCCACGCCATCAAACATGGGACTCCAGTTGAGAGGCATGGAGAACTTTTAAAACAAACTCTCAGTGAGATATTGGCGTTCGTCTTTCCATCCATAGCAGTTCTGTCGGCTGGATTCTGCTCAGCGGTTAAAGGCATCCTCCACATCCCTACGACGATTTGGTAAATTTGACCGTTGTGCTGCCATGATGAGAGCTTTAAAGCAAAGTGAGAGTCCCATCACGGCTGTCCCTTCAGCAGTCTTCTGTGTGTGTGACGCAACACGGATCCTTGAGTCTGCAACAGAAACATTACATAAGTGTTTAGTTTCCCTTACAGCCCTGAAGATCCTGATGATTTATGACTCAGAAATGTGTAGTAAAGTAAATTATAAAAGTCCTAGATGCTCATTTATTGAAGTTACAATAAAGTTTTTTCTATACAACAGAGACCGATGCTCCTTTTCCCTTTGTTCGGGTAAAAACGTTTGTTTAGATGATAAATTATGAGTCGAACGAGTTTGATCCCCTGCATGAACAAAGGCTGGTAAATTACCCTCTGAATGGAACAGCCCGCTCTTTCTGTCCCTCTGACAGTCCGACACCCACGGTGGCTTGGACAGATGCCACCTCTCGCTGTTGAATTACTTGGCACATCGCACTGACACATGAGAGAGTTTTAAAGGCATAAGGTCGTGTTTCAGCACATACCCACATGGACACGCAGGGTGCACGTGAAACAGCTGCAAGCCAAGACATTTTCCTAAAATGGGATGGGAAGACTATGAGGCAACAAGCTGGGAAAGAAAGAAGTTGTTAAAAAAGAACCACGTGAGCGCAAGCTGGAGGATGTGAAAGAAATGAAGTTACAGCAAAAGAGGTTTTAGCGTTCCATTTCGTTGACAGATGGCGTAACTGAGTTATGGAGGGAGAAGACGATGAGAAGATGCCGAGAAGCAGCGAGAGGTCAGGAGGTTAAGGGCTCTGCGCAGCAGCCTGGACGGTTTCACAGAAAGAGAAAGTGGCAGCAGGAAGTCATTAAAATGTTGCTGCAGCCAGAAGTCACCTTCTTCAAAGATGCATTGACAGGAAAAGAGTCAGCCCAGAACCTTGAATTCACCCTTGAATTCTATGCTGACACTTGAGGGTTCAATTTCTGCTCCTCCCTTGAAAAAAACGTCCCATGATTTTCCATGAATCCAGAGCAGAGAGAAGCAGCCGGAAAACCGGAGAAGCGATAAGGTAGAGGAGTTCTCTGCTCATCAATCAATGTATAATGCCAGAAACTGCTCAGCTTGCCACAAACATCCACATGTGGAAAGATGCTGATGCAGCAGATCAATGAGCCCACTCGTAACATCAGCTCGTACACAAAAATGTGCACATTTCCACATGCACATACACACATCGGGAAAGACAAGGGACAAACACGGGCACACTGATTTATTCACATCCAACACGCACGCACGCACGCACCCACGCACGCACACACACACACACACACACACACACACACACACACACACACACACACACACACACACACACACACACACACACACACACACACACACACACACACACACACACTCCCTGTTGGCCTGCACATGCTGCGACATCTCAGCCACTTTCAGCTTCTGCCTGGCAGCTTGTTGGAATGTCAGAGTCAGCAGAATCCCGCTTGGCTGCCCAGGAAAAGAAGCTTCAGGCACAAGCTGGTTTTATGAGGAAAAACAAAGGTGACACCTTAACCCTCTCAGGCTCAAAATAAGTTTTGATAAAAGGAAGAACAACTAAGTCCTTCAGGGGTACTTCTGAGTTAAAAATGCTCATGAAATACGTAAATGGAGTAACCAGGTAGGTAACTGTTGCAAATCTGCAACGCCTGCCTCCAGAGGGTTAAAGAAATCCCTGCAGCTTCCAGGGTGTCGTTGACATGAAACTCATTTACTCAGAACCCTGGAAGCTGTTGGTTTTTACTCGTCTTCCTGCTGTTTCAGGTGTTTTCTTTTAAGTCTGGCTCTTTGTTTGTTTTCGATAAGAACATATTGCTTTTCATACATTCCTCTTTGTTTCAGGCCTTGTATGCAAAGGTGGCATTATTGTGGGGAGAATAAAAGTTTCAAAAGATCTGTGTGTGTGTAACTAAAGATTTGTAACTTGTGTTTACATTTTCGTGTGTAACTTCAGCTCCTACACACACAAATCACCTGGTACACACGGACGAAACTATATTACACACAGATCAGTTTACAAGTACAAAAATCCTTTTGAGACTCTTTTCTCACCTGACTGATTTGTGCGTACATGGTGCGTTTGAATCCTGGGTGGAAGCTGGGAAATTTGAATTTCTTTTGGATTTAGTCTAAACTTGTGTTGATGGGACAAATATGTTTTTCTGTAGAAAACTAGAGTATCACAGGATCCTGTAGTTATAAAAGATAGACCTACATTTAATTTTTAACAATCTAAAATTGTTTATTTAGACATATATGTGTTTATGAGCCATGAAAACATAGTCAAAGGTTTAAAAGAAATGACTAATAAATAGAGTAATTCTCTGACTGGAAAAAGCAGGCTTCAAGCCGGGAGAAGGCACAAGAAGATGGTGCGGCGTCCTGGTGATCTTTCCTCTGAAGTAAGCAAAAGTAAGTCCAGCATGCTTTGCAGTCAGGTTATAATGAGACAGCTATTATTTTAGACCATTTCAGATGTTTTATAGGTCTGAAAGATTGATTCCCAGGCAAGGAAGTGGCTCTTGGGCCAGTTTATGTGTGTGCACAATAATGCAGACTATTTAAATGAAAATTAATGATGGGTGTTTCGTCTATGTCGATCACGTTCTTTGAGATTTATCTTTTGAGGTGAGAGAAGAGTCTCAAAAGGATTTTTGTACTTGATCTGTGTGTAATGTAGTTTTGTCCGTGTGTACCAGGTGATTTGTGTGTGCGTACCCAATGTGTAAGAACTGAAGTTACACACAAAAATGTAAACACAAGTTACAAATCAAGAGTTACACACACACACACACACACACACACACACACACACACACACACACACACACAGATCTTTTGAAACTTTTTCTCCCCATACATTATCAAGCAAGGTTGGGTTGATTAAAACCAGCAATGCCACCTGGGGGCTGTACCCTGGGCATTGTTAAAGCAATTTCTAGATACAAAAGCTCCAAGTTTATTAAAAAAAAAGATAAAAATAACATATTTTCTTTAGTTAAAATTAGTCCACTGTCTTTTAATCTTACCAGACAGGAATAGTTAAGAAGAAGTAGCCACAGTCTAGAAAAGTGCAGATCTAGGAACAGCTAAGATACTGCAGAACCATCAAGCTCCCAGGCCTCTGGTAGAGGACGCAAGCTTGGAAGGATGAGACCGCCCTTGGAGGGTGAAATGGGAGTTCTTTTATACAGGCCTCACTTTCGACAAAGGAAAAAGATGGAGGTTCTTGGTCTATCTTTACATGTTTGTTGTGAAACGGCAAAACAGAAAGTCAGACATTCTGACTTCTGCTCATTCTGCAAACCTGCTAAGTTTTTCTCTCCCAGTGCATTTAGGCTCTGATTATCTAATAGCTCCTGTTTGTTTCTGTTGCAGCAGTTCCGTGTTGTCTGGATTTGACTCTTTCGCCCTTTCCTTGAATCTTTACTGTTGAACATCATCAGCACATTCACTTCTGCACAACCTTCTTTTAGCATCAAGACTAAATTAGGTTCATCTTGTTCAGCAAAATGAGAACTTAAAACATCCCCGTCGATCTTTACTTAGGATCAGACAGAAATGAGCTAGAGCGGGACATTCATGCGTGTCAAACCTGCTCTGCAGACCACCGGAGGACACGCCTGGACATGTCTGGCCTGGGTCAATAGTGTGGGAGGCACAGACAGAGGCTCTCATGATAATTAGACTCCTACTGATCTGATTCAAGATGACAGATGGAAGGATGGAGCAGAAGAGCCTGGAGGAAGAAGCAGATGCTTCGATGCTTTTGCAAAGCAAGCAAAATAACTTTACTTGCTTAAGAAGGATAAACAAGAGAAATTAATACTAAAACTTTACACATTTTCTAAAAATCAATCAACAGAAGAATCAATCAAAAGTGACAGTTTTCATTTGAACTAGTTTCTTAACTTGTTGATTTACAAAAACTGTTCAACTTGTCTAAATTCCTATGAGGAGAAGCTCAAATAAAGAATAAAAGGATTGGTTAAAACAAAGCTTAAAAGTTTAGTTTGTCCCCTGAAACAAGTTTGTGTTGTTTTAAATGTTTTCCTTCATGATTCCCTCATTAAACATTTAGTTTAGGGTTTAAATCAATCATCTTTGTCACAGTAAATACATGAAACAGAGCAGGATGTGTGCAGTTTGCTGTTTCCTGTCAACCATTCCTCTCAACTTGAAATTTAGACTCAAGACTTTCCAAAAATGGTTTTCTTATAAGTTTATAAGTATTTTAACTGTTTTGCAGGTAATTGCAGCTTTTTGGCATCTTTTCACAATTAAAAACTTTAACCCTCTCAGGCTCAAAATAAGTGTTGATAAAAGGAAGAACAACAAAGTCCTTCAGGGGTACTTCTGAGTTAAAAATGCTCACGAAATACTTATGTGGAGAAACCAGGTAGGTAGGTTTTAACTGTTTAACGCCTGCCTCCAGAGGGTTAAATGAGGCTTGACATTTCTTTTATAGGAAAGTTAGAAACACATAAACTAAACATGATAAAGTTCAAAGTCACTGTCAAAGAGGGAATGTGTCCGGACATGAGCCAAGGCAGGAGAGGGAGAGACCCCTTTGTTTTGCGTGTGTTTGTGCATGCGTGCAGTTGTGTGTGTGTGTGTGTGTGTGTGTGTGTGTGCGTGCACGTGTGTGTATGTGCATGAGTGCATGTGTGCGTGTGTGTGTTTGCATGCCTGTGTGCATGTGTGTGTGTATGTGCACGTGTGTGTGTGTGTGTGTGTGTGTGTGTGTGTGTGTGTGTATGTGTGTGGGGGGGTTGACAAACTGGAAGCTGTTTTTTCATGGTTCCTTACACAAAACTGTGAGATTAAATCCCAATAAGATGGTTAAAGTTTTGTTTAAATTTTGTAAAGAAACAACATCAATAAAAGAATGTAGCTTCTGGTTCAGGTTTTAAATAAAATCTGTGGTTCCTAAAGTGGAAACATGTGCAGGAAGAGGAAATCTCTCTACTTATTCTAATTGTCTGTTAGTCCGATGAAAGGAAGGAAGAAGTTCATCAACGCCGATATCACTCGCCTCGCTTTGCTGTAGAGGTCAAAGGTCATTCACTGGCTTTATATTTAGATGTGGTTATAGAAAAAAAAACAACTGGACAAGAGGAAACAAACATCAGGAATTCCCCTCCAGGCATTGTCATATTTTCTATTTTCTATTAGCCATCCATAAAAGGAAGTTCCAGCTGTGAGACAAAATCGGATTTTATCTCCATTCGGTGACCAATGAGCAAAAAAGGGTGCATAAATTTATAGATATGAAACAGAGAATGATATCCATCACACACATCTGGACTCAGTGACACAGTTTTTGTCACCTTCATCACGAAAACAAGCAAATCTGTCAAATAGGGAAATAAAAAGTCAAGTAGCTGTTTCTAGTTTTCTTGTCCGGGGATTGGACCGCCAAGGCTCCCGCCTTGGTCTGCCACCCGATTCGCATTGCACCGGACCCTTCATGTTCCTCCTGCGGGTGGTGGGTCCACAGTTGGACGAGCCCATGTATCCGGTTCGGGCTGGGCCCGGCCGGGCCCCATGGGCGAAAGCCCGGCCACCAGGCGCTCGCTCACGGGCCCCAACCCCAGGCCTGGCTCCAGGGTGGGACCCCGGTAACCCTCCGGGCTGGGTACTCCGACTCTTCGTTTTAACCGCCATGAAAGATCCTTCGAACCGTTCTTTGTCTCACCCTTCACCTAAGACCAATTTGTCATGGGAGACCCTACCAGGGGCACTAAGTGCCCCAGACAACATAGCTCCTAGGATCATTAGGGCACTCAAACTCCTCCACCACGATAAGGTGACGGTTCAAGGAGGAGTTTCCTCCGTAGGGTGGCCGGGCTCAGCCTTAGAGATAGGGTGAGGAGCTCGGACATTCGGGAGGGACTGGGAGTAGAACCGCTGCTCCTCCGGATCGAAAGGAGCCAGTTGAGGTGGTTTGGGCATCTGGTCAGGATGCCTCCTGGACGCCTCCCCGGGGAGGTGTTTCGGGCATGTCCTGCCGGCAGAAGGCCCCCGGGTCGACCCAGGACACGTTGGAGAGGTTACATCTCCAATCTGGTCCGGGAACGCCTTGGGGTCCTGCCGGAGGAGCTGGTGGACAAGGCCGGGGAGAGGACGGCCTGGAGCTCCCTAGTTGGGATGCTGCCCCCGCGACCCGGACCCGGATAAGCGGAGGAAGACGAGAGACGAGAAGTAGCTGTTTCTTAGATTAAAAATAATTCAAAGATTCAGACTTTGTTTTAGTCACTCTGTTATTCTCTCTTTCAGAGTGAAAATGGTACAAAAGTAATTTATTTCAATAATTCAACCCAAAAGGTGAAACTAATGCATGAGACAGGGTCA